AAATTTCAGCATTGTACCAGCTTCAAAGTGTAATGTCATGTCAGTAAGAAAAGGCTTTTTTTTTTCCCAAAAATTGTCATGGTAGATCCTACCAGAATAAAAAGAAATCCAATGACTGTTCATTAGTCCACATACTTTGGATGAGGAACTTAGCACATCTGATTTGATTCAAACCTATTCAAATCCTTTACAGTATGAAAACTACATGTGCTCTAGGAGAAGCAGAGAGTTTTTACAAAAAACACTCCTGAGATGCCACTCGTACAAAGCACGCACCAAAATAAAGTCAGTAGAACTTCCCATTAGGTACCCACCCAGGCAACAGTTCTGGAAACCTGAAGATTTCACCAATTTGTTCTCTGACTGTTAAATTTATCTGGATCCAGACTGTATGGAAAAGGAAGATGCAAAGGAGACATGAGCTGTAAAAAGCTTCTCTTAAAAAGAGGAGTACACTGGCTCAAGCTTTTCAGAAAGGGATGAAGAGGTATGGTGATGAGCCAAAGTGATACTTGGTAGTTGGGAAGACATGAAGAAGCAGCAAAACTTAACTACAGAGCCTCTAATATCTTTGCTCCGCCATCAATTATTTGCAAGTTGGAAATTCCATGATCTGCAGAGGGGCTATTTTGAACTAAGAACAAGTTACATTATGAAAGAGATGAAGGGGAAGGAAGGCAAAATGGAATTTAAGAGGAAAAAAAAAACAGAAGTAGTAAGATGAAAAGAAAGAATAATCTGAACAAAGAGTAAAATGGAATATAACTTGCCAGAGGGTCTGGCAATAGGTGGGAGAATCTGAAAAATGACACTGCAAAAAGAAAGCAATGATTACTAGGCTACAAGTTTGAGATGAAGATTGCTGGTGACTAACATATGTGGGGACTGGAATGAGAAACCTGAAGGCAGCACTTTTTGGTTGGAAGGTTGAGGAGGATGAAAAGCTTGAATTAGAAGAAGGCATGAAAAATGTACGTTGAGATCTACAATTTTTGCTCTTCCTCTGTTGACAAACAGTTGTGGAATAACCACTACATCTCACATACCCATTCACATAAACAAGTGTGCTGAAAACCTACGCTGGTATCCAAATTGTCACATAACAGTCTATTTTTCTTCTCTAAGAAGAACAGATTCCACACACTACATCTAAATATGTGGAAAAGTTAAGCTTAATCAGACAAGCACTGGGAAAACACAACAGTAAATCCAGAATTGAGAAAGTTAGTACTTTAATTTCTCCTCGTATAGCATGTACATTATAACAGCATTATATCATTACAAGCAGTTTTTTCCATTTGGAAATTTTTCCCACTTTAACGTTATAGTGTTAGTAATGTATGTTTAAGCACAGGAAATGCTACTACAAGACTATTTTTCCTATGAAGTTTAGAAAATGTATAATCAAACAATGAAATTGATGGTGGAAAATGAGAAAAATCAAAGCTGCATTGCTGTCAAAGTGTTAAGAAAATCAGACTCCTTTGTACCCAGAAAAAGCTTGAAGCCCTAAGAGAAGAAAATAGGAGAACACTTCTGTTCCTACTGACCTCAAGAGATTAAGGACCAGGCTGTACCCCTGCGCAGGCACAACTTCCATTACTTTCAGCTGAAACAACATGAAACTTAAGGAACAACTGCATCTTGTGCATAGGCAAGCCATTACATTAGAAGCACATGCAGTATATAGAATCATCAGTGCATTTTGCAAGTACCTAACAATGTTGTACAAACTGAAACACCTATGGTCTCTGCCCTGAAAACCTGACTATCCTGAATACTGAGAAACAGTGATGGAGGCAGTCTGCAATCAAAGTTTGGCTATTCTGTTTAGAGCCAGACTGTTTTACTTTAAATTGCCTTTTGCTGAAGGTTAGAAATTAATCTCTGCTGCAGCATGACTTGTTTTCTTTTTAATTTGTAAGATTGTAAGAGTTAAAGTAATTCAAGCAGAATTTACATAAACAATTATTCTCTCAAATAGTTTGAAAAATATGGTAGATATATATCACTATTTGGTAACACACTTTATTGGCGATTACTTCCTCTACATTGATAATGTTTCTTTTAATTCATTTCTACTTACTTGCCAAGACCACTGCTGAAAATACTAATAAAACACAAGAATGCTCTTTTTGAAATGTTACCATCAACTTTTCTCTAAAATTTCATCTTGCCTTAACTGACAACTTTTTGCCACCCCAAGAGTAAGGCACCACAACTGATTTATAAAACTGTCTTCTGACTTTATATCCTACTTTTTTAATACATTTAGACATTTACTCCTCTGACTTGAACACACTCTTCTGATTTTATTTTCATAGTGAAAACAGTAACATACACTTTCATACACTCATTCCCTTCGCTCCACCCACCCTTTGTTTCAGCTGCAATTATCAAGAAAGCAAAATGCTCCATTTGAGGGGCAAAGCCTAGGTTTTTCACCCCATCCTCAGTGAAAAAGAACTCAACTTCTTTATTTCAGGATTTCTTTCTTTCTTTTTTTTTAAACAACCAATTAACATTTTGCTATTTATTTCAGAAATTATTAACAATCTAATTCAATTTGAATGCTGGCAAATCTCACATTTTCCTTGCTATTCCTAACCTTTAAGCCACAAATTTCTCTTCACTTGTTGGTTGAAAACCTACTACTAACATCTTGTTTAAAGTCATCCCCTTTGCAGTTGTTTGGAATTATTCCTTATCATTGTTCTCCCTAAATAATAATAAATAAATCAATCCAATCTCTGCCCACATTGAGCTCCTAAACTAATTTCTTCTTCACTTTCCTGCAGACTATCCTTCTACAGTTGAAATGCTTAGTTTCTGACCATTTATGGATTTGTGTTTTCATTTATTTTGAGTCCATATCAGTAAATCTAATGTTATAATAACATTAGTACATCTAATATTATACTGTCTTAGCAGAAGCTCTCTGAATATTGCTAATAGATGGACACCAACATACTTTTTCAGTAACTCAAATTCTGTAGGTGTTTGCTCTATATGCTTCTGCTTTTCTTGTAACAGTGTAGAAAAGTATTAATGTCCTTGGGCCAAGAGCACTGAAACTTGACTCTGTGATGCAGTGATGATACCAGAGAAATAGTGATCCTGGAACATCAATCATTTAGAGAATTAGCTGCTGAATCCAGCAGCCCAACAGAAGCAACGCTGCCATGTCTCCACGTTCTGAGGTTCAGCCAGTAGCAAGTATGAGCACGTACTCCAAACTGGCAAAACCAAACGCTTTGTATGTATACACAACTAACTATAAATACACACGTGGCCAGTCTCATAGATAACAGAGACACAAACACTCATGCAAAGATAGACGGCACAAACAGTGTAATCCTGTCCTGCTCTCTGGTTCCAAACACCCAACAACAAACCTCGTACAACCCCAAATACTCTTCCTATGATGCATCCCATAACACACCCTACCCCCTCCCGGCAATAAACCCACCAGCCTGTGAGGTGACCCAGAGAGCTTCTGGCTCGCCTGTGGGACTGGGCATTCCCCCTGGGACAGCCCTGCCTGCCCACGTGCCCCTGGGCTCCTTTGCACGCCTGATGAGCTTAATCACACAACCCAACAAACTGTAAACAGAGATTAAGCATCGGTGTTGATATGCAGCCAGCTCAGCACGCTTAGATCTGCCACGGCAATCAATGTAATAGTAAGGCAGGGAGTAAACAGGAGCAGCTCTAAATTAGTGCAACTGTGCAACTGCACAGGCACAGGGAATCAAATTAAAGATAATGGCACGCTTTGAAGCCTTTCCATAACCGTGATAAAAATAGACACAAGGAATTTCCAAAGGGGAACTCAGGCTCTTAGTTCTTCTGTTTCACCTGAGAGACAGAGCTGAACGTCCTTACCTTAGCAGGGCTCTTCTCCCCCTCCCTGCTTTCCTCTGCCATTACAGAGGACCTTCCCAGCAGCCCTAGGCTGCTGAATAACTCTTTCAGGAGCTCTGCTCCCGCTTCAGACTTCAGACCACCACGAAACCTGCGGCGTTCCCAACTCGTCCCAACCTCTCGCTCCACAGAACTAAGTGCCCTGGGGCCACTTGTGCTCACAGCGTCGCGTTCCTGGGAGCTGTTCCATCGCAACGTCTCCACGTTGGCTCTGCTTAGGGAACACGAAGAGCTGTGGGACCGGGGTGACTCGGCCACATGCCCGACCCGGGCTGCCCGCTGTTATTTGTGCAGCAACACAGCTGCACTCATCCTGTACGGGGGAGAGGGCTGTGACAGGAATCCGGCTTTCCTCACCAACGGGTCGGTCACCCAGCACGCGCACAGCGCTCTATAAATAACAAAAATAGCCTCACTGCCCACTGGCGGCTCTTAAAAATATCAGGACGCCCCTGCTAGGAAACCGCGCGTCGTGGTGACCTTGACGCACCGCCCTTCTTCCTCCCGCAGCCAGAGAGCGGGAGCCCCCAACATATCAGCCCTCCGTTCCACACAGCCTCATTTGGGGGCACAGCCGCGCGGCGCCTGCGCGCCCTGAGGCGGCGGGAGGAGCGGGGGGAGCCGGGCGCCCACACACAGGCACGAATTACAACGGGATTTCCTTCCGAACGGACGCACGAGCGCACAGCAACGTTCTCCCCGCGGGAGGCCGCCCCTCGGCTCCGGGACCTCGCATTTCGCTGGTACGGAGCGGGAGCGCCCCGCAGCGCGTCGAGGGACTCCCGCGAGGGGCGGGCGGGAGCGGTGCGGAGCGGCCCATCGCGCGCCGGGCCCAGGTGGGACCCCCGAGCGCATCCCGTCGTCGGCTTGGGGGACGTGCCGCCCTCCCGCGTGCCGCCGGGCATCGCGGAGCTCGCAGCACTGCGGCAGCGCCGGCCCTCGAGTGGGAGGGAGCGGGAGGGACCCGCGGGGCGCTGGCGGTGTAACTGGGGGGGCGGCCTCCCCCTCCGCGGCGGGAGCGGAGTGCGGCGGCCCAGGGAGGGGGCGGGGAAGATGACTTCATGCCGCCGGAGCGCCGTGAATTTAGGAGCGGCAGCTGCCGGCGCGATGTGGGGGTGAAGCGTTTGTGGGAGCTGCCGCCGGTTGAGGGAGACGCAGAGTCGGGCACGGTGCCGACGGGCCCGCGGCTCCGGGAGGGAAAGAAGGGCGGGAGGGAGGAAGATGCGCTGAGCCGGCCGCTGGGAAGGTGAGAGGGGACTGCCGGCGCGGGGGCGAGCGCTGCACGGTGGAGCGGCCGCGGTTCGGCACCCGGGCTGCTCCGAGCGCTCGCCTGTGGGGAAAGCCGCCGCTCCTACGGCAGCAGGGCCGTCCGACGGAGAGCTACAGCGCTGCGTTTTATCTTTTGCTGCCGGGACGTGGCTCGGTGCCAGCTCCCTGCCCGCCGCTCGCTCTGCCCTTCGCGCTGCGCGACAGGCCGTGGGGCTGCGACAGGTGCAGGGCCGCGCTGCGGGCTCGGCGGCGCTCCGCAAGTGGAGGAGAGACGTGTTTGGGGGCAGGAATGCTGCAGGGTCCATCGTGTCATTGGGCTGCCTGGTTTTGGAGGTCGCTTTACAATCTACTGAAAGGGCCTGGGAGCTGCAGACCCAGACCTTATAGCGAGAAGGTTTATATAGGGTCTTCGGGGGCCTCTGTGCTCTCTGTTTTTCAGTTTCCATCAGCTAGTGTGTGGTTTGAAACAGAAATACCAGTGATACGTAAATGGTATTGTTTAGTAAATAGAAGAAACAACGGGTTGCTTCGCCATGGTGAGGCCTTACCTCGAGTACTGTGTTGCTGTGGGCACCTCAGTACAGAAAGGACATTGAGGTGCTGGAGCAGGTCCAAAGAAGGGCATCACGGCTTGTGAAGAGCTTGGAGAATGTGCCCTACAAGGAGTGACTGAGGGAACTGGGGCTGTTTAGTCTGGGAAAAAGGAGGCTCTTATTGCTCTCTTCCAATATCTGAAAGGTGCTTACAGCAAAAGCGGGGTTTGTCTCTTTTCACTGGTGACAGGTGAAAGGACAAGGGGAAACGGCCTGAAGTTGCATCAGAGTAAGTTTAGCTTGGATATCAGGAGGCACTTCTTTACAGAAAGGGCTGTTAAGCACTGGAGTAGGCTGGAGGTTGAATCACCATCCCTGGATGTGTTTAAAAACTGTTTGGATGTGGTGCTCGGGGGTATGATGGAGGGTTGTTAAAGCTGGGGTAGTATGGTCAGGTTGCAGTTGGACTCAATGATTTTTAAGGTCTTTTCCAACCTAAGTGATTCTATGATTCTAAGTGAAAAAATGAGAACACTTTAAACCATGTAGCTCAGTCAATTGACTTGCACCCTCCTTGTGGAGTGTACACAGCAGTATGTTAAATGAGCACTCCTTCAGAGCAGAGCAGGAATGGAACAGCACTTGCTTGGCCTGAATCTGTTCAGCATTTTTGTTGTGTTATTTTTCTTTTCTTTCTTCTGCTCTGTAAAGTGTTGCTCCGAAGATGGCATGTCAGTATAGGAGGCTGGGGATGGCATGCGTAGGTAGATCATTAGAGTGAGCTCTGTCTGCATGGAGCAGTGGTTAAATAATGGCTGGCTCTGCATGCTTCAGTTTGGAACTGAAAATAGTGATTGTGCTTGTAGTGAGGAAAGGGTAAGGGTTTTTTTTTATTATTTTTCCTTACTGAAAAGTGGAAATGAGATACTAGAACCTGAATGTTATTTTATTGGGTATCTATTTACTTACACGCTTGTTGTAAAGGATACCATTATCCTGTGTGCTTATTGAGCAAGCTCGTGTAATTGCAGTTGTGGTTCCTTGGTTGTGGCTGAAGGCCCTGGGCATGGTGCTGATGATAAAAATAATACGTAAGGAGGTAACTGGCAGTTGCTTGATCTGTTGCCATTATTTCTGGGAAGATGTTTAAATACATCTGTTTATCTCAGTACTGTTGCTGGGTAGGCAGAAGGCTGATGATTACAGAGACAGGAAATGCATATAAAAGACAATTGAGGCTTCACAAGGAAGAAACAAAGAGTGACTGGTGAATTGCAGTGTCAGAAAATTAGTTCAACAGATGGATTTTTTGTCTGTAGACCAGTCATTAAGTATGGCCCATGCAAGTTATTCTGGCCATTAACTATGGCCTTATATAAACCCTATTTAAGCACTCTGTGGTGTATCCAATGTATACCTTTCAAACCAGGGAAAGTGATGTCCAGTTCCATCAAATGTGTATCTGTTACCTACCAAACACTTACATTTTTTCTTATAAAACAGTTGGGAGCCTGAATTATCACGCATCTGTTGTTGTTTTTGTTTTGGTTTGTTTGGTTTTTTTTGTTTGTTTGTTTTCTGGCGAGGGAAAGAGTATGATTGTGTGTCTCAGCAATTGCACTATAGCAGTCATTGGTTGATTTCTCCTGTAATTGCCTCTGGTTGGAGAAAGAAATGTATGAGAAAGAAATTGTATGAGTTCAGATACGTGTCATGTTAGTCCACCCGTTCCATACTGAGCCCATTCCTTTCTTGAAGAAAACGTCAAGTAAAGGTTTCCCATTCTGTTGCTGTAAATGTAGAGTAGTATGAGTTCTTGCTAATGTTGACAAAACATTAGCAGAGTAAGTATAGCTATTTGTGCTTCCTGGCAAATGTAAATAATGATTCAAAAGAATGTTGATGCTTTCTAAAATAATGAGGAGGCAGGGAGGAAGGAATGGTTGATCAAGAGTCATTACCATAGAACATCTGGTTGGTTTAACACTGAAAACTTGAATTGCTTCTGTTTTTATCTTATGTGTACACCGAAGACAGATGGTGTAATCATGCCAAATGGAAGGGTGCATGTGTCCATAGACAGGGGAAAAAGTTTGTGTATAATGATCAGTGTCAATTTAGTTAATTTAGTTGAACACTGTCGCTGATGTAAATTCATTTCTCTTTCTGAGCTCCTCTTCCACCTTCTGTTACAATAACTTCCATCCCTCTGCCAAGCAAAGAAAACAATCTGTGTTGCAGTTAATCTGGGGCAGGAACCCTGCTGCCTGGCAGAACAGTCCAGTTGGCCAGCTGGTTGATGCTGGGCAGACTGAATAGCAGCTGAGAATTAGTTGCTTTTTTCTCTGAGGGTCTGCTAGTTTAAATTTCTTCATCTAGATTAGTTCTGTGAAATTGTAGGAGTTTAATTATCTTTCAGATTTCTAAGCCATAGCCAGGCCTCTGAACCAGCGTGTTCGTTTAACCGAATTTATGAGCAGGGGTCAGGCGGATAGATTTGCATGAAGCTTGTGTCCTTAGGAGAACAATGTGGAAAACCCAGTAACTCTGAATGCAATTGAAAGAACAACAGTTTGATTTTCTTGTGATCCTTTGCGAGGCTGAAATGAAACAGTTCAGCTAATAAATTTGTCTTAATGGGAGAATGTCTGAAGGTGATGTTTCTAAACGCTGTTTGATCCAACCCAAATAACAGCCTTCCTTCCGGAGTAATGTTGTTATTAGGCTTGGAGTTGGCATATTTTCCCCAAACTAAGAATTCATTATGGACTAGGATAAAAAGAGACTGCAATAGAATGTGAGAAGGCAGGTATCTTATTTACACTGACATGCATGCACTTGACATAAGCAGGCAGAATTTTAGCAGTGGTCTCCATAACAAAAAAAGTTTAAATGCTTTCAAATCATATGATGCCCTTTATGTAACTGGCACTTCTAGGTGAGGGAAAAACTTTCACTTTAGAACTAAATGCCAGCCATCAACTTATATTTCGTCTCTTACTACCCAGGTGAACCTTCTGTTGGACTCTTTAATTGTGGTCAGAACAAAATCTCTAGTCAGTCAAGTGCAGAACTAACAACTGTTAGAAGTAAGTTTTATTCATCCCTAATCTGAAGGCTGCTCCAAAAGTAATGCCTTTTGTTTTACTGTGTTGGCCGTGTCATCAGAGGCGGCTCAGTAGAGGCTGAACCTTTCCTCCCGTTACACTTTGTTGCTGCACAACAGATGGCAGCAGAGGGGCGGTCTGACACAGTGGCATCTGTCATGAAAATGAGTGTGAAACAAAGGGCTGTAATTAAAGTCCTCCATGTACAAAAAATTGCAACCACTGACATTCGTTAACACTTGCTGAATGTTTATGGAGACCAAACAGCGGGTGTGAGTGCAGTGAGGTGGTGGATGGTGCATTTCAGCAGTGGTGACAGCAGCGTGAAAGGCAAACCATGTTCTGGATGGCCATGCAGATCTTTGCATAGCTAATGGTGATGGCTGTGCTGAAAAACAGTGTTTTGTAGCTGAGAATTTTTTCTATCCAAATAGCATTATTGTGCTTTTTGTATCTGTTGTGGTTTCCATGGAAATAAATAGGAGATATTACTTTCATGGCAACCTATGCATATCAGCAGTGGAAAAAAGACAGGCTTTAAATACTTTTGTGTATACACCTAATGTAATAATACATGGGCACTTCACAGCCCAGATACTAAGGACACAGATTTAGTATCTGAAGCATAGAGATACAAGAAAAGAGTTTGTGTATCCTTTGGGGAAGGCAATTTGGTTGAAGTTTCTCCCTCGAAGAGAGACAACACAAGCATGAATTTGTTCATATTAATTTCATGATGCATTGAGAGACTAATGTCAAGAAAGTCTTCTGGTTTATACTGTTACAGAATTACTCTATTTTCTAAGCATTATTAGAATGAATGTTAAAATTGGCTATTTTAACTGTTCTTTGGCTTTTCAGGTTTCATGGGCAATTTCAGAAATACTTCAGTGCAGCTAGTTGGTCTTTGAACATTTGTGCATTGTTTTCTGCATTAGTTCCCCAGTGATTCATCAGAAGTGACAGATAAATAGGTCTAACCCCAACATAACCGTCTCAGTTTTTCTTACTTTGACTACTTCTGTGTCACATCTTTGTTCCAGAAACTATCCCAAAAGACTCAAAAATACATTGAAGTTATCCTGGCACCTGTTAGTTAGCCTGTAAAATGTGCTACAGCTTTAATGAGATCATATACATCTTAATATATCTATATAATTATGTATCTATATTTGCTAACTATTCTCTCGTTTGCCTTCTACCTCCTACAGAATTTCCATTTACACATATGGTGAGCACATAACTGCGGTGAAACGATCTCACCACCTGTTGTTTTAAAATAGCACAGATGCTTATTAATGGTCCTTCCACGATACTGTTTATAGTACATGTTAAAC